TTCTAAAGAAACATAGAATCAGAGAAAAGTGCCCCTGTTATGTGGTGTTTACCCTGAGCTAGGGCCCTTAGACAAAAAAGACAGGAAAGGTCAGGTCTGAGGAGGGCACGTGCTGCCCCTCCTGTGTGACCTCCCGTGCATGCTGCATCTGTGACCACAAGCTTGCAGGGACAGGGGGAAACCTGAGAGGGGACAGAAAGGGAAAGAAAGATTTGCAAACGGAGCCTGTGCCTCTCCTCCTGTCACTTTGCTCCTGCTTCCCAGTCTGTGTAGCAATCATGACACCAGGTTGGTTGTTTTAGGACCCTTCATGAACCCTTCCAAGTCCACAGTCTCTCTACGCCTGGATCTACGGATTCTGTCCAGATCATCCGGGAGAAAGAGCTTTTGCAGCTGTCCTTCCTTCTAAACTCAAACATTTTTGAATGAATTTATTATACTGGTGATCTTTAAGAAATGATGCCCTCAAACAGCTCTTTAAAAAAGGAGTGATTGGCTTCATAATTGGGCCATCAAAAGCCTGCACGTTGTTGCCCACACCATTCATTCTTTGCACTCGTGCTTTAGTCAGCTTTTTGATAGGCAATTTATCTGAAATATCCCTGACCAGTATTTCAAGTGAAAACACTGTGTCCTGCGTTGAATCAAATTTTGTATTCACTGTCTGAAACATTTGACAGGTATTGTATCCTGCTAAGAATGATGATGGGACTGAAAGCCTGGAGGCTTCACTATAGACTGGATTTGTTCCTTTGTTTGTTTTTACTTTTAAGACTTTATTGGAAACATGCTCAAAATACAGGCGATTCTCAGGTTACTCTGTAAGGCCTCCAAAATGGGCCCTATCACTGAAACCCAGTCAAGGAAAAACTAACATTTAACAGACTCAAACAGGAAAATCAAAGGAATTTTACAAAATTGTCTCATAGCGCTCTGCCTCCCAGGATCCAGTCTTTCTCAAGCAGTGGCCAATTCTAAGGAAGCTACGCGGAATCATATAAGAGATTCTGCAATGAATTCAGATAAATCACTTTTGTCTCTCTGCTGTCTCTTAGAATATAGCTGACACTGCATGACAAGAAATATTCACCTGTTGGTGAATGAAGAAAAGAAAAGAAGATTGCTTCATTTGAATGTGGCAGCAACATTAGAAATATGATTTACGCATGATGTGCATTGCAAGCACAGGATACAGAAGGAAAAATATAATGATTCTCCTCATTCTGCACTATGTCACTAAGATCAATGGAAGTCACAGACACATACTATAATATGCAGAATTATTTATGGAATGAACGCTCCTATTTGTACGTACATCTCAGTTAAAGCAACGTAATGCCTAGAGTTATACCCAGGAGACAAAATCCTATTTTACATATTTGTAAGCAATAAAGCTTGAATACCTATCATCATTCACCACATTTTTCATAAGCTAGAAAAACAGCTAATGGAAGGATTTTTGCAGAGCGGATTTTTTGTTGTTTCTTTAGAAACCTTCCCCCTTCCCGCTGAAAGCAGTGATAAACATCATACAGTTTAATCACTACAAGGGACTAATTCTGCTTGCAAACTAATCCATTAAATAAAACCTACTAGCAGTATTTCCCAGAACGACGCCATGCAACGTACACAAGAGCCAAACAAAAACTGGAAGATGTGAAACCACCTCTGGCAGCCTCAAAATTGGAAGGCCTACGAGGATATGAGTGAAGTCAGAAAGCAGTAGCACACAGAAGTCCAGCATCACCACCAAACCTCTCCTGGCAGCAAGAAAGCACAAACTTGTTAGTATGGGCCTCCCTTCTACTACGGCTGCTCAGGCCGTGTCAGCACTGGTAAGAAAAAAGAGGCTTTAAAGCTACACAGGCACCTTTTAATTTTCCTTCTCAAAATCATGGCATTTCTGATAAAGGCTGCTTTTGAATCTCCATTTACTTTTACAACTCACTTTGTTTCACAGCAGTTTCTATCTCCTACTGTTAACTCTTGAAAGAAGCCTTTCCAAGATCAATCCAGTCTGTTAGGATTCTGGATGTTAAAATGGAATTTTTCTTGTCTACTGTTTCTTGTGAAAGGCTTAAAAGTGATTTGTGACAATCATCATAAAGGGATTCGATTGACAGAGTTTAACAAAGTGATCTAGAGAAGATTCATCAGCGGAAAATGCTCAAACTGTAAAGTGAAAGGAGAGCAAAGCTTTTCCTCTATCTGCTCTTGAAGCAAAATAGTTTTTTAGAAGCAAAAACCATTCTAAAAGCTTCTAGAAGCAGTTATTGAACAGCACAGAAATGTACAACTGAACATTTTAAATAATAAATACGTTCTCAAATACTTCATACTCAAATACGAGGAAAGGATAAACAGGCAAGCATCACAACAGTAACAAACAACTCCATTGACCTTATTCAGACAAACCTCAAAAACACAGCTGCCAAACTTTCCTCAAATGAAATGAAAGAGATTTAGTTAAAAGGCCACTACATCCCCTCCTGTGAAAAATATGGCTTTTTTCTTCTCTGTTGGCCTGGCTCTACTTTCCTTCCCAGTTTGCTCTCCCAAATTGCTTTTCCCTGCAGTTCACCTTCTTCATCTGCCCCCAACAAGAGACCCTGGTTGCCGGGTCCCTGCTGTGCCACTCAGAGGGGAGAGGATGAAACAGAGAGGAAAGCCTTGGCTGCCTCACGGACCACGCCAGGGTGAAGAAGAAAACCGTCCCTGCTGAATGTCGGTAACACCAAAGATATAAAAACAAATATGAGAACAAAGTTGACCAAGCCTGAAGACACCTCTTAGAAACGTTCTTCTAGAAGTTCAGATAGACAAAACTGGCTACACAACTCTCAATGTCACTACTACAGTTAAGTACTATGGATCCCCGTTTGACGTATTTACTCTATTCTTAAGTTTTGGGCTTTAATTCACCAGCTCATGAGAAGAAATAAGTTTGCTGCCCTCCTTTAAACCTCCAGTGGTGTGCACAATGCAGCACAGATAGGCACTAGCATAGGCAAAACATTTATTTATTTTTTTATCCTGATGACACAGGTGAATTTTGGATGTTATAGCCACTGCTTGCAAGGTCCTTGCTTTAAATCTCAGATAATTTTAACACTCAAGTCAAAATAATTCCCTTCCGCTCAACATAGCGGCAACTTCGGTTGAAGGCTATTTCAAATACATTTACAGGATATTAACAGGATAAAGGTTTTCTCTATTCACAACTACAGCAAAACCATAAAATTGACATTTTTGCAACATTGCTTCAACCTTAGATATCTATCTACTCATTTATAAGTATTCTCCAGCTTTGCTGGGCTTTTCTCTCTTCTTTTGCGACTCCAATTTAGTGTTACCTGCAAATATGACTAATGTGTTAATCATCTCAGCCTTCAGATCAATTGCGTGATAAAAAAGCACTCAAAGCCCCTTACATTTTCGTCTGCAAAAAACCTACAACACTTCTTGACTAACAAGTTAATTTGTACAAATATCAGGTTCTTTTTTTCTTTTTTTAAAATCAGGTTTATATCTGTGAAACTTTTCCAATTCAGTATTATTCTTCTACATAATGCTGTATTTTATATATTTAATTTACTTGTAGCTGGTAATTTACTGCAAGTTGCAAACTCTCGTATTTATCGGAGACATAAAAGAAAAAAACATTTGAAATGCCAACACAAATGGGACTCAACACAAAACTCAGATATTTTTCATTAATGATAAAACATGTAGTCATGAAAGACTGCACACAAGAGTCATTCGCTCATTGAAATATTGCGGAGACTAAGGGTTTTATGCAAGTTAATGATATATACAAAATGATACCACCTCAGTTTAATACATCACACTACGCTATCAACTTTCAAACCAACTATGTTTCTAACCGATCACAGTTTTCTGCTCAATTATTTTTGTAATATTAACTTTTTTTCTTTAGAAGTATCTTTGCCTAAAGACAAGTGGACTCTACAAGTGCAATACCTACAGATTAATCAAAACATTAAACACCTAACCTGAGAATATTAAGTGTTAAGGTCAAAATGTATCAGTTACAGACTTGAAACATGACTGTGTTACTCAGATATGATCTTTGCAAATCTGACATACAATCAAGTCATGTATTTCACATAAGTGAAAGATATGTTTTAATTATTTCTTTGAAGGCTGACCAGAATTTTTTTTTGTCAGTCTTGCAGTGACTTTTGTCATATATTATTTAAATGATGCAGAAGCATTTTAAAAAAATTTATCAAATGTACAATGCAGTATTCAGTAAAGCCAATAATGAAACAGTTTATTTAGAGAAGATAGCACCTGGATTCATTTTATGATCAAAAATGGTTTACTTAATTCTTTTCATTCACCAAAGATTCAGATAATCAAAAATCTGTATACCTTTTAATGACACATTCCTGATTACTTCAATCTCAATTTCTGCATACTTGTAACTTAGAATGGAACGTAAATAATGTTTTTAAATTGAAGATTTTAATCAAATATTAGGGCAACCACCATCACTCCAAACCTGCTTTGTTGTTCCTTTTATTTTTAAAAAGATGAGTTAATGAGAATTGCCAACTGCAACAAATGTTTATTTTGCTTTCACAGTATTTGTATAAATTTTATACAAATGTTTTAACGAGCAGTTAAGCAGTTCAAAAATGGAATGTGGACTTAACATTGTAAGCCTTATGAAAGACTAGGAAATTGTTAAAATAACCACTATTTGCCATGATCAAAATCTATGGTCAGTAGCCTGTCTTTTTATGCAGTCTCACATATAAATTTCAGAAGCTATTCATTGATGATAAAACATGCAGTTATAAAGACCTTGCACACAAAAGTGAGTCACTAGCTGACCCTCTGCAGCGGTCAGTTCTCTGGTAAGTCAAGGCTGGGGCCTATCGTACATTTGCAACTTGTGGTAGGCACTTCTGTCCTGTAGTTCCCCATTTAGTTAAAAAGGTAAAGGACACAGCATAACCTCCAAGCACACGTACCTTCTCATGCAATCCAGCGCCCGAATAAAGAAGTCTTTGTGAAGCTGATGCTCATCCCTCAAGATGGAGCACTGCTCAAGCGTCACCGACATGGATGTCCTGTCTTTGGCACTTTTACAACAGGTGAAACGGATCCCGTTCAGCTTGCGGCAAATCTGTAACACAGGCAGAAGTCAAAGGATTGCTCTTGTCATGCCTTGTCTTCTCTATGCACTAGCAGACCATGAAAATCCTATGGCTTTTACAATCACAGAGGATGTCTACAGAGAACAACAACATTTCTCGAGAAAAAAAATTGCTATTAACACACAGGAATTCAGAGCAGAATCATTAAGGTGCCAACATGCGAGTCTTTGCAGCTAAATCAGTTACTAGCTCTGCCATGTGATTTTTCTGTTTAAGGATTATGCCCATGCTGGCCTGATGCAGCAGTACCAGAAGACTACAGTTACTAATCTATAGCCCTTTTCATCCAAATTACACATCTTAAAAGTAGATCTTTAAGGGTTTTAATCAGCAAGCCAAGCCTGATGTGCACATGTTTTATCCTTGGACTTCTAAGGAACAGGTTCTGCATGAGGTCAAGTGACCAAGCAGCTTGCAAAGGACAGCCCTGTTCTGTGCACCACAGAAGGGATCAACTTTTTTTCCCCAAGTAAAGTAAGAAATTCACAGAGGACCAAACAAAAAAAGGGTACTATTCCTAGTCCTAAGCCTGTTAAGCAAGTCATTACAATGTCTGCACTTAGCACTACTTACCAAACTAGAGCATCCAACTTTCTAAACGTGAAAAAGTATTTGTGCTAGCCTAGAATTTCAAATGAGAAGTTCAGTATTTTTCCCCCACTTTCTCTGACAAACACCTCTTTCAATTAAAGCTTAATTGAAAAGTCTGTGTTAGCTCCTACTCGTGAATGCAGAGGAGTAATTTCTCATGAGCATATGGATTGAGGCACATCTATCTATGTATTGAATTTACATGCATTCCTTCTTTCAACAGCTAAATCGTTCAATGTGCGAGCCAGAACAAGCGAAGCTTAACACAAATGGATGCCACGGAATACCTACTTTCATTGAATATTTTGACAAAATTATAAAGGGAACAGGTAGTTTTCTTGGATGGATCATGGCCTCTGATAGGGCAGGGGGAGACTAAATCCCAAATCTTGGCTGATAACATGCAAATAAAGTGCTGGCTAGTAAGAATCAGTTTTGAACTGAGCAGAACCTCTAGGCGCAACAAGCCAATGACCATACCCGCAGGCTGGAGAGCTTGTTTTGCATTTAAATTCAGCACAAACGGCTCAATCATTTTTAAGTGGGTTAAATGGAATACAGTCTGTTAAATTAAATAAACAAATTTGGAAACAATTAGCTTCTGATTTACGGAGAAATCTAGGTCAGCCTAATAAGGCTGGCTCAGATAAATGCTCAGAATAACTCAGTTCAATAAAGAACAGCAGTTAAACAAAGTAAATGGGCAAACACAATGAGCAGGTGCTCAAGAAATCTAATAAGAGACAATACCAAACCTATAGCGATATCAGAACACACAGCTGACAAAATTCTCCAGCTTGAATTTTATCCTCAATTTTGCTCACTTCATCCCTCAAATATATTTAGGATATAGGGGAAGTCAGACAAAACATTTATTAGACTCTTAGAAATTCTCTCATATGAAAAGAGATTTAAATGGTTATGACTGTGATTAAGTTTAAAGAGGAGGTGATAGACACATATAAAACAACACAGAATCAAACAAGAACAAATCAATATTCTGATAATTTCTCTTGATACAAGACATTAGATCAAGGGACCACCTTCGGAAATAAAAACACAACAGATTTAAAACTCATGAAGTGAAATATTTTTGCAGACTGCGTAGTTAAAGGGATCCACAGACATCATAATATGCAGTACCATAAGATAACACCAAATTCAAGATTTTAATAGGTTTCTAAAAGGGATCAGATGGTTACAGATACCCTCATTATCAATAAAATTATCTTAGATAACATAAGAGAGAGATACACTCTTGTGTTTTATAGTCTATTAATAATCTCTGTCCTGTTATATTTAGAATAAGAAATGTTTATGATATTATTTTGCGACAGAGGTGACTTGGTAAATGTAGATGTATTCTCACACTCCCATTGTAACAGGGACTACACATAGGTGTGCATACATATGCACGTCCAGGCATACGTGCATCCATGTACATGTACTGCAATAACACATTGATACCCTGGGAATAATGCCTTTCCAATATATAAAAACAGCATCGTATAGCAGTATGCATCTCAAAGGGTCCAGAAACACTCATTGCTGAATGTTAGCTTGAAGTAAGGTAACATAAGAGAAATACAATACAGTGAAGGAAAAATCTGAAATAGTTATATGTCAAAAGAACTTTTTTTTTTAACCCATGAAATTATTTTCATAAAAGCTGAATGGATGGTAGATGACAACTTTCTATATCTACAGATTAAGTAAATTCTGTCATATTCTTTGCAGCTTATTTTACAGTATCCTATATTGATTTATTTTTACTTCTTTGAAAAGCAATGTTTCATGGTAATTGAAGAACTGGTACTGTGGAAGAAAGCTTATATTTTTACCCAGAACAGATTTATACTACAATAGCACGTGATCATATTTACCGACCACAATGCAAACTGGTATTAATAATATATAACATTTATAACATTAATAATTGTAACAGCATTATTAATACAAAGACTCTTCTTCATAATATGACAATTAATATTTTATTGTCCACAGTGTTAATGAAAGCTATGCAGAATTTTATTTATCTTTTGCCTACAATATTTATTCACCTTGAAGGGTATATGCATTTGAAAATTCTCCAGAACAGAAGGTCTTACATTTCAATTTCTGCAGATACCAAAGGCCCAAATCTCTGCTTACATAAATGGGTATAATTCCACAGAGAAACCAAAGGTAGTTTTCTAAATCCAAGGCAATTACCTTGTTGAATTTCACATTCCTAAAAAGCTAGAGCTCTTCGAACATCTGTATATTTTTACGCATATGTGCAATGACACAGAACTGGGAAGTAAAAAGAATAATGTGAATAAAGCCAAGTAAATGTTATGCATTAATAAACTTCTTCCATTTGCGTCTTCTCTGCATCTGAATTTTTGCCCATTACATAGCTAACTGATTTTATGTTGCAGTCACTGCCTTCGGAGTGGCTGTCATGGTGACACTGGCCAGAGAAAAACAAAGTGCTATTTACTAAAAGGGGTTGTACTAATGATATTAGACACTTATTTATAAGAGCCAAGGACTTCAATTACATAAAATTATAAGAGTCAAATGTGGTAATATTAAACAAAAGCCAGAACAAGTGATCATTTCTTGCATCATACCCTGGGGCTTTATGGACACTAAAAAAATACAAACAAGTTGTTTTGAGTAACTGAAGTTTATATCGCCACAGAATGGATTTAAATTTAGACAAGAAGTTAATTACTGTAACTGAATACTGCACAGTGTCTCTCATATGAGTTGATATCTTTATAGCTATGCTTGGCTATCTAAGGAATCGGTTCTGTCCCTCACACGCATGAAAAGACTCCTGTAACTAAGTGTAGATTCTGTTAATTAAAAAACACACATAACAGAAACCACCCCGTATGAATCTCATCAAGACTAGTGCAAAATCCTGCACCTGGGGCAGAACAGCCCCCCACAGCAGTCCCAGCCGGGGTGACCGGCTGCATACAGCCTCCGCAGCAAAGGGCCCAGGGCGACGGTGGACCACTGGGGCTGCATTACCAGTGAGACAAGGGCAGTGATTACTACCTTGCAACCAGCCCCAGCGAGGCCACGGCTGGAGCGCTGCGCCCAACAGTTAGCCCCTCGGTCCTGGAGAGAGGTCAGCAAACCGGAGCACGCCCGCTGGAGAGACAGCAGCAGGGCTGGGAGCAGGCACCTAGGCGGGAGAGGCACAGGGAGCTCGGTCCCTTGTGCTGGGAGAAGGGGAGGCTGCTGGGAATCTGCCTGACAGGTGGTCCGAGAGGACGCATGCAGACTATTTGCAAGTGCACAGCAAAAGGGTGAGAAGCAATGGCTGCAACTTGCAGCCAGGGAAATATAAAGAGTTTGAATGGATATAAGGAAGAGGAATAAATCTCAGCAAGGGTGGCTATGCAGTGGAGCAGGCTGCCAGAGAGGTCGTGCAACCTCCATCCATGGCGGTACTCAAAACTCAACCAGACACAGCCTTGAGCAACACGATGGAGTGTTGAAGTAGCCCTCCTTGGAGCAGGGAGTGGGATCAGACAACCGCCAAAGGTCCCTTCCAGCCTAAATCCTCCTACGGTAATTCTGCGAGTCCCACGTACTGTTCCTTACAAAACTTTTGCCTCAAATAATTCTTCTGTCAGGTTGCTGAGGCATTCTGCACTGAAATCAGATGAACAAAGCAAGGGAAAACAGATAGGCTCTTTTTTAAATTTTGGCCAGTTCTTACTAGTTACAAAAATAAGACAAAGACAATTTCTGTAATTTAAACGTAGGAAAAAGAGACATTCATGAGTGGGATGAAGGGGCAATCAGAATGGAAAGGTTAGCGAGCCATTTCAGCGTATCCATCTACTTGCGTGGTCGAGCTTTCCAAAATATTCTTAAAAATCTATCACAATAGATTTGTGATCTATTACATTATCTATTACACATCTATTACAATATCATAAGGCACATGAAAATTAACAGATCATGTGGAAGTATTTAAAATAAGGGAGCTTACCGTTGCAGCCAACCACATGATTTCTACATTCTTTCTCTTTTTGGCCTGGATGTTTTGATGAAGGTTTTCTAGTAAACCCTTTAAGTCATTTTGTTCTTGAAAATGCGGTAGGCCTGAAAAGAAAAAAACACTCAATGAGAAGATTGTACAGACTAAAGGACTTCCTTGTTAAAGGACTGCTCTATCACTTAGAGCCTCATTTTGGAATACAGGATAGAAAGCACTGGCCTATATAGGGAATAAGCAAATCTTCTGTCTGAGTATAGGGCTGCTCTCCCTAAGGACTCCCCAAGGAAGATAAAGCCTCATCTTTTAAATGGAGGGAGAAAATCAAATTTTTGTTCTAGCTCTGTTCATCAACTGTTATAGGCATTTATTGGAAGTGAGTAGAGAAATATTGGACTGTATAAAGAGCTGTTTTGATGGTTTTTTTTTAATTTTACAGTCAAAATATTTTGCTTTGTTTTCAAAAAGGAAACATCTCACTCTGTTTTAAAACAATGTTTTAGTTCATAAAATAATGTAAATTTACAGGAAGGCTAAACAGCACTGAACACCCCCCCCCAAAAAATCTAACAAAGGATATCACTCAGCCTGAAATGAAAAGGGCTTTAGTTTTGAATTATAAAATAATTTCAGGTTTACTCAAAAGCCCGGGTACCCTACTTGCCCTGGGTTTGGCAGACAATCTGAATTTTTATCATACATGTCTAAAAGGAATTCAGGAGCAATTCAACTTAACTGGCTCTTCTGCTTTGTGTATACATAGGAGGGTTTTGTTTTTAGTATTATCTCTGTTGTCATTGGTACTGAAAAATCAGTAGAAACAACCAAAATCAGTCTTTCAGAATGATTTCTTCTTATGATAGTGAAGTAGAAAGAAATTTATTAATAGTTATCTCACACATAGGAAAAAAAATAATAATCTCTTACAACCAACTGAAGCTAAATTAAACCAAATCTATTAAAGCATCCTTTTTCTACATTAAGAAAAAGTCAGCTGTTTGATCAAAAACCCAAAAAAATAGTTTAAAAATAATATGATCTAAGGATTGTGTTCAGCTCAGAGAATAAAAATTAAACAACCACTACAATGCCAGTCAAAAAAACCTTATCTTAACCTGATCACAGCTGGAACGATGGGTTTTGTTTTGTTTTGTTTTAAATCTGTAGACTTTCATCTTTTACCTATAATGAATGCTGTAACTTCCCTTAACCATGATTCATAGTGAGAAGTAATGTAAAAATACACAAAAAGAACTATACTAAAAATGTCTAAATTGCCTCACCCATATGGTATATTGTACTACCAAAAAAAAAAAATTACAGAAAAGTTACTTAAAACTAGCTGTTCAATAATTTTAATGAAAACTTTCATCTGCATATTATAATTCCTGATTATACAATTAGATAACATAGACCATATAGAGATACATCATAACCTATAAGGCTATTATACTTACCCTGTGTCTATTTCTGTAAAACATAGTATACAATGAGTACTCTAAAAAGCTGCTTCCAGGTTATGAGAGTGTTTCACCACGTAAACATTTTACTGCTTCAAAGTAGTTTTATTTCATTTCACAGGAGAAAAATCCATCATTTCTGAGAGAGATGATTTCAGCATAGGTAAAGCAAGATTCTCTTAATATATAATATTGCCAAAATAAGTTGCCTCTTGACTGGATGTGACTGCTTAAATTGCTTGCATCACAAAGCAGTATTAAACTGTCAGATCATTCTCATAGATTAATATCGGGGGAGGAAGCCTGGCAGTACAAAACAGACTCATAGACTTTGTGTTGATGCACTGCTACCTGCATTACGATCCTAAAGAAGAAAACCTGTACTTGCTTGCAGGCTTTCGAAACCTTGCATGCATGGGACAACACCTTGCAAGAGTGACATTGCTGCAATTTCTAGGTATACCAAACAATACCAAAATCACTTGTGTTAATGTGATTTTGTGCTGCTAACGGCTTAAAGTGAGTTCTATGCCATTCTTTATAATTACATACATATCACTAAAGCAAGTCACACATTCTTGTATCCTTACTATCCTCATCCCTTCCCTAAAAGCAGTACTAGTTTGGTGCCTAAAACAGAACAACGTTTGGTTGACGCTTTTGGTAGGAATCTTTCTCAAAACACATTGTTATTTACTGTTTTCAGAGTTTCCTGTTAGCAGAGAGTTAAAGAGACCGAGAAGCAGGCAAGTGAAAGAATGCATATTCATCTAAAATAAGGTGGAAAGCCCATGTCTGGCATATGCAGGTATACGCAGCTAAGAAACTTAGTAACTAGAGAGTAATGCAGAGAAGACTAGAACAGAGCACTGGGGCAGGAGTCAAAGTCTTCCCCTGGCTGAGCACCTTGGAAGACCTTTGCTTTTCTCCAACTTTGTATGTGATCAAAGTCGCTCTGGGGAGGGAGTAGGAAGGCACTGGTTTAAAAGGCATATTCCTCCAGGCCAAAAGAGCGATTCCGTGTAACGGCACGGAGCAACCAGGAAGTGCAACAGAAGCAGAAGGTGCTTTGTGTTCTGCAAACATTTGCACAAAAATCAGAGACTTGGTTCTCAGAGGTAGTGCAAGAAGGCATTAATAACCAGCAAGAGACCTGATGAATTAGACAAGCTTAGTTCTCCAAAGTCTGCACAGTCTGGAAGCAGGCCTGGAAGTCTGTGTGGCTCCCTAATAATCCTTCTGGGGGAAGGCAGTAAAAGGTTAGTTTCTGTTGATGAAAAGGAGCAAATACGATCTGCAGGAGAATTTTTGCTTTTACATTATCAGGTCCGTCTATGAGATAGCAAATCTACTTTAGATCTAATCCCAGATGAGGTTACTTTTTCAGGATGCTTTCTTGACAGGATTTCCCTAAATTAATTAGCAACTTCTTGTACTTCTTGTAAGCATTTTTCTGTAGCGCTATCCGACAATATGTGTTAGAGATGTGGGTGGATGGATGGGCATACTGCCCACCCCTCAGGAACAGAGAGGGCTTTCACTTCTGTTGATACCATTAACAAATGAAATTCATCCTGATACAAAAGATAAGCCTATACAGATAATACAGTGATACTTTAGACGTAATTACAATGCATGTAAGGAATAACTCTCAGTAACAGAAAGCATTTTAATGGGTAAGAAACAAGTTTTTTTATTTTTATTTATTTTTAAGTGCCGTTCCAAAGGTATTCTGCAACGGAACACAAGCTTTGAATAGGATTTTAACCAGCAGTATTCACCAGTGTGTCCTGCAGGATAAGAGATCTTTATATTATAAGATAGTTACCCAAAGGGAAGGGATGGAGACCTAAGTCCAAACTGTACAATTTGCAACACTTGGGAATATAATTCAAGCCATAAAACTGTTTTAAGAGGATTAAATGATGCAAAGGGTCTTTTTAACGTTTGCTTTCAACCACAAAAGAAACAATAGTATGTTTATGACACCAAACTTCTATAAAACTTCCAAATAGGGACTATTCTAATAGAACCGTGCTATTAATAATAATGACATTATGATGCGACTCCTTGCTGGTATCTGTATTTGCAGATTTCTCAGGGGTTTGCCATACCTTAATATATGCTAAGAAATAAGAGTAGAGGGAATGACTGAAGCTGATGCAAATTCCCACAGAGTATTTCTGTACAAATACAGTAAGTACGGACTGTCCTCTAGTACAGACTTGAATTATTAAAAAGCGTATTACATTAATAATTCAAAAGAGCTATTTGGTTCATCATTACTGCATTTCACTCTCCCTGTCCCCTCTGCTATAGCCGTGGTCCTGCAACCACTACTGGCGTCAGCAGGGCTGCGTATAGGCAGAAATTGCTTATCTTTTTGGAGGAAATTATGGGATTGAGGCCTAAATTTAAAAGCTACACATTAATATTGTGCTAATATTAATTTCTTATGACCTTTTGTCTACCAAACCTTTTAAAAGCTATTTGGATATTATTTATTTTATACTTACAATCAGGAGGCATTTTTTCTGTAAACAGCTTGTAATATTCTTTCAGAAGTTCAAAGTTTTCCTGGTTAACATTTTCCTGCAAAGTGGTATCTCCAAACCTAAAATAGCACAGAAAAGTGACCAAAAAAACCCTAAAACAGAAAGCCAAACCATCCTTCAGAATACTTTCTTTGTACTAACAAAGTACTTTGTGTTGAATGTATAAGATTTTATCAAACGTACAGTTAAAAATCTCTCACGTGCTTTGGAGCTAATATTTGGGAATGAAGTAATCGGCCAGGAATACTACTTCCAAAAAACATATGGATGAAGTAATCTCTTTGCAGACAACCATTCAGTAAAGCACAAATCCTGTTTCCCTTCACAAATCCTGAATAAATGCAAGGGATCTCTGTGGCAATTTCAAATGCCACTATGGGCAGAGAACACATCTCCTACATCTCTTACCTCTGTTGTTGTTCAGCAATATTAATTTCTACTGGTGTCAGTAGATGATATTGGAGTCACACAAGATGGAAGAGATACAAGTATCAGGAGGAAAAACTTGCTGGTGAACTGTTTTCTGCCACAGGAGTCTGAGAATATTTGCTACAAATAGTCAAACTGATTACCTCTCTGGGCCCTTTTGACCCTGTAATGTGCCTGAACTGTTAGTTTTCTCGCTTTCTTGTGTCTGAAACTAATGAGAAAACTGTTTTCTCTGCTCTCGAGCAGTGATTTCCCCACCAAGCCCTGTACAGTTGCGACCCACAGGTGAGATGACTTCAGCTGGCTGCAGCACGTCAGCAGTCACCCTGCCATGCTGCAGCTCGGCTTGGGGTGATCTGGGGTCTTTCAGCAATCAGATTTGCTGGGAAATGCATCACCCAATTCCTCATCATCCTGCTCTTCCCAGAAAACCCAGGCATCAGAAAGCCATAACTGTTCTCCAAGAACTGACTATAGCTACGTAAGCTGTACGTTGGCAGTTAGGGCCAAATTTTTATGGCTTATCTTTAAATTAGCCTTGAAAAGAGGAAACAGAAGATAGAAGAGGAAATGGGCATGGAAAGATAAGTGAGAAATTCAGGTAGACGAAAGGGGAAACAAACCAGAACATACTAAATCAGCTGCTAAATATGCTGCTACGACACGTAGAAAGGTGTCAAGTACTCAAGTAGGCCGAAAAGGGAAAAGACTTGGCTACTTCCTCAATAGGCACTGCTGCCCTGCTACAGGACAGTATTTATTTTAAATCATACATATTCTCAACTATGGTTTATTGAAAAATAGAGATGTTTGGATCTATTAAAGTAACATTTTCTAACAATTTATCACAAAGCATTATTTCTATTCTCATGTTCATTCTCCCACAAAAGATGCCTTTTACCAAAAAGGTATATGCAGTGTTTCCAATCTCAATGTTGAAGACAAATATGCATCTCTACACTTCGGGAGTCAAATAATATCACCACTCACGACCGTGAAAAGTCTCCCATAAACATCTACAAAGCTACTGCATGGCATCCCTTAGAAGTCCTCTTTAAAAGCTGCCTTTTGCCCGGCTGTCTACAAAGAACAGCAAGTCAAGAACCTGTTGTGCTTACAGTCTTGCCTACCATCCAGGTTAATGTTTTTTCACCATCTCCCTGTATTTCCCCACCTACGCTTAGATTGATTTTGGTTTTGCGGTCGTACAGAATACAATCTAAAGGTATGTATTATGTCTCTTGGATGCTCAGTTACTAAAATCAGTAAACAAGTGTAGTTGCCTCATTGTAGATGTCAGCTTTGCAATTTTAGCGTTGCACAAACTTGATTATTTAACATGACCCAAAGATGTCTTTCTTTCGGGAGAGAAAATTAACAGCCTGATGAATCTTTGACTAAAATTGTACTGGTTAGTTAATTAGCTTCAAGTAATCTTTTCAGAGGACTAATACTTACACTTTGGAATTTTAACATCAGCCTTCATGTTTCTACAAACATATCACTAACCTAGTCCATATTATTAACCATCCCTCCTCAACCCTGTGAGATAAAACATAATGCTGAGAAAAATATGTTCTCTTTACGGTCTGTGACTTGTCTGGCATCTTCAGCCCCACCTCAGAGATAATAACAATTCAGAATTTTCAACCTCTTGTTTCAAAGTGCCCAATTCTACACATTAATAAACTTTTACCTGTGTGAACTAGAAATCCATTTCATATCTGTATCCAAGGAAAACTTGGTCTTAATTGTGTGAAATAAAGTGCTGCATATATTGTATCTTTATTTGGCCTTTTTCATTATTTTGCATTATTTCATAGCTTGTGCATACTTCCTTTAATTCATCTTTCAATACATACCAAATGAACCTGAGATGATCCAAGAACATATAATAAAGAAAGATTGCTTTGTAATCCTGTGAGAGATCCTGTGCTAGCACAGCATCCTCAGATAGAAACCCGAAACATGAATTTTTCTGAAATTGTCATCTTACCTCTCTGCAAGTGTTTGCTGTTCATTGATTCCAACATTAAAGAGTACTGGATACATGCGAAGTAGCTTTCCTTCTTTAATCTCTTGCGGCAGCAACTCAAACATCTTTGCTGGAAGCTGGACCTCTATAACATAATGTTCGCTAGGAAAAATACAAATAAGAATATTGATTGGTTTACTTGAAATTATAACTTTCCTAGGTTATAGAGAAATGTTTAGGCTTATAAATCAATTCCCCTTGCTCCCTTTAATTGTGCTAAACCATAAAATATGAAGATTCAGCTTGCTTGTTTTAAGAGCACTTATATGGAAATAGGCAGGTGTATATACAATTATACTCTCTAGCTTGATAGTGACTCCTTTACTGAAGTGAAAACAGGAATAAAAGTGAAAGCAGTAGAAAAAAAAAATCCTTTACTCCTTTATCATTCTGCCAAAATATCAGTGAGAACACCTCAGCTCTTAAAATGCATTTTTTGAGCTATAAAAACACTTCCTTTCAAGGAGCCACAAATTGATCCTGTATCCATTCTAAATATAATATGCATAATGGCCTGTACTCAACAAAAACCCTGCATCACATCCAGAACAAAATTCCCCATTTTCTTCAGTGGCTGGATTTTCTCTGCATGGTTAGAAAGCATCACCAATGCCAAAATCGACTCCATGAAGATAATAATTAAGGCACAGGCTCTTTACACAAACTTGAATCCTATTTTGGAAGTGATGTGAAACAACAGTTTTGATGTTAAGTTTGTGTTTGTGGTCTGACTTTATGAAAAATAATATACTTAGGCTGTCAGTCCAAATTTTGATTATGTCCTTCATTGTGAAACCTGAATTTCACCTGTCGTCAGGGATTGATGCCTAACCCTACACAACAGAAACAACAGCATGGTATTAACTTTGTTTTTCTATTATTAGAGCAATGAGTCTCATAAGAAAGAAGAGCAGATTAAGTGCAGACCCATTTGCCTCCAGGATCTGGCATTTTAATCACTCGAAGGGGGCCAAGTGATAAAGGAGATCACACTTTTCTCTCCTGCAGAGCACATTCACAGATTACCACCAAGAAGAAAAAGTATTACAGCAGCAATAGGGAAGGATCTCCTGCATACAGACACCAAGCCTAAGAAGTCAGACATTGTGTGAACATAGACTTAAGACGGATTAAGGATGGGTTTTGCTGTTTGGACTTGATCTAGTTATCTCTGTTTAAAGAATATAGTTGGCATCTATTAAAAAGATCTATCATAAAGTTCCTCTAACCCTTATTTTAAATCAATCATGTGCTTGCCAAAGAATTAAAATGCAACTTGGAGTACCCACATGCAGAGTTTTGGGGAGAAAAGGCAGAAATCCTTGCAGAAGGACTGCAAGGCTTTGATACCCAGGACAAGCTGGATTGATGAGTGTTACTACCTGGGAGCAGGTGTTTGGATAAATAGCTCGAGCTTTGGAGAGTCAGTGGTAGTGTTTGGCCCTCTATCCTGCCCACAGATCTGAGAACCAAAAAATTGGTCCAATACAACATTCATCTAGGGCAACAGCATATTCTTTGGTTGGGGTTAAAACTGGTGAGTAATCTTAGAGCACATACCAGACGCCCTCTGCTGAGGCATATCTAGTAGTTTTGGATGAAGCCTTAAGGCAATGTGTCTCAGAGAAGGGAAGAAGAAAAAAAAAAAAAAAGACAAAAAAAAAGACATGGCCCCGCTCCTCAGGTAAGTCTCTTAAGTGTGCATTTAATTCATCCATGTGAAGGAAATAGAGTTAGCAAGGACGACAGTAAAAACTCCTTACAAATGAACTTTGCTTAGTGACATTCATTGTCAGCCCACATGTTAGCACTCCTAGTTGCTGTCAAGGGCTGCCAGAACACATGTGTGTGATGGAGTGCTTTCAGGAGGTTCAGAAGAAATGTGGGTTTTGTCTAATTTAAAGAACACATGCCACTGAACCACAAATGTTCAACCACACCACTGCACTGCTACATTTCAGACCCCAAAAATCACTACAAATCCTTCAAAGTGTGTAAACACAATAAGAAATGCTGAGCTTTAGGCATGATAAATTAAGATCAGTACCTTTTTTTTTTTTCTTTTTTTAAGAGCTTCCCCTTGCACATTCTACTTTTTATACATTTTTTTCAGTCTCAGGGATAATCTTTTGAGTGGCACCATCCCTTTATCATCCTAACTTTTAAAAAATTGTAACCAATTGCACAAAAACAACATCCCATTTCTGATCATTTAGAAAAAGACTATTTTACTGTGAGGAACAGCCATCAGGAGAGTTCAGGCGTAATAGCAAAGTCAAGAGGAAAACAAAGCCAACTAGCAAGATCAGGAGAAATAATTTAACCCTAGTTTACCAAAACTTTACAGGTCCTATGCTTCTACTTAAGAAACAGTAATAAAACAATAAACTTTGTTGTTATGTAGTTTCTCTCACGGCTAGATTCAGTGCAACAATACTAGGTGGCTTTGGCATGAGATAGATGGTTAGGCTGCTACATTTTCCGATTAGAAGATGACTTGGCATAAAATGATCACCTAATTTTTAACATTTAACAATCTCTCAAGCAAACAAGGTGGAGAAAAACCCAACATGTTTAAGAGGGTAATAATAAATCATTATCTATTTCAGGACTCATGATTTGAATTTAGGTGTTACATATTTAAACATATCACTAAACGTTTCACTAAAACATGACTGCTTAAGAACATCCCTCTGTCTTTGACTTTACTTGCCTCAAACTCTAATATTTGTTATTACCCCATGGGAAGATATGCCTAGACAAACCTTTGCAGTCCTGTTCGAATGCTTCTAACAACTGCCCCAAGCAGCTGCAGGCTACGGCCCCTGCAGCGAGGACCCGGCTCCTTGCAGTCAACTGAAATTGCACACGTGGGGTACGTTGCAGTGAACACAAAACAAGTTGTTTACAGGCACCTTTGCTTTGCTCTGTCACAGGAGGAGTGCACAGTCGTCGCAGTTCAGCTGTGAAGTGCTTTTCCCAGCTTTACTTCTAGCTAGGTGACAACTTTTTAAATCACTTCAGTGTGATTGAAAGTGGCTTGCCTGATCACACTCCTAGTTGAAAACGCATTAAAACTCTGCAATGCCTCACAGTTCATGTACACAATCAAATAAATGCTATCAAAGGATTAAAAAAAAAAAAAATCGTTAACAACTTTCATCTATAATAAAAGAACCTGAATGCCTGAGCTGACCTGTATTCTATCTGCGTATTCTGGGTCAGGCAGCCCCGTCGACAGGTTAGCGGTATTTAAGTCTCATTTTACTGTATAAAATTCGCCCTCCCCAAAACAACTGAAATGGTCTGAAAACTGTGTGATTTTTTAAAAACTTTATTAAGAAAATAGTTATTTCACTACCTTCCCTTTTTATGATTCCCTTCCACTGCTCTCTGATAGGAGCTGTCTCTTCACAGCTGTAACAGCAATGGGGCTCCACACGAGCCTTACAAGTTTTTTTAGGCTGCTACCATTTCCATTTGGTGAATACCCGTTAGTAAGTACAGTAGAGCAATCACATGCAGTAACTCTTCTCCCTAAAGACCAACTACTCCATCAATCCAGAACACCCAAGGCAGCTTAAAGCTCAAGTCTCTTTCAAAGCTAGGACCTCCCGGTGTGACACTTCAGCGTACCACAGTAACGGCAGCCAGGCAGCAAGCGCGGCTGCCGGATTTTTCAAGATTTTTGACTGGTGTGATTCACAAAGGATGCATTTCTGCTGTTTTATCTACACATCGTAATTGTTCTTAATTATTCCCCAATGTGTTGCCTATCATACTCTGGCCTTCCTGCTATTTATTTGAATCGTTTCTTGGAAGGCCCATAGGATGAGAGTGAATCATCCAGAATAATTACGTAAATTACTGGTGAATGCCCCCTTGAGAGGGGACGTATCTTTTCTAAAAGTTGCTGCTTTTAGCTGAATTCAATTTTACAGTCATCTTAAGAATAATGGTACCATTAAGGTCGTGATCTCTGCAAAAGTAAGAGCATTTGGAAATCCAGACTAGAACAACAATAAAGACGGAAAAACCCATTTGTCACGTGTAACAATCCTTTCAACCCCCTAATGGCCACAATTAATGAAGTATTTCAGTTTATGTCCTGATCTTTAGCATTGCTTATGTGAAATACATATTTTGGAAGTCACTCTGTGCAAGGATTTCAGACGCTACAAACTTTTTGCATTATCTTCAGCATTTTTTGCAAATTTTTTTGCATGAACTTCAGCAAATGAATTGGCTTCATTTTTCAAAAGCGACCACTAATTTCTGGCATCCTAATTTTACAGTTCCCATCTTCAGAAAATCAAGGCCTAACTCTTGCAGATGCCATGTCATTTGTCATACATTTGAAATACAAGTTCCAGACACCTCAACACCGAAGTACCTTGACTTAGAGACCACTTTTATAAATATTGACTTGCCTCTTCTCTGTAATTCAGTGTCTGGATACGTAAAATGCAACATTAACTCAGCCCACCACTCAAAGAAACTTTTACAATTAATTTGTATTAATAATTCCAACCTTCAGCTCCTCATTAGGAAGATAACAGGGAGCCCATAGGACTACTACCTTTACGAATTCCTACAGTTTTATTTACATCTCCATTAACCTGACGGAAAGTAAGACCACTGCATTTTCCATATAACAGAACTCAGCAACAAGAAAACCATTACGTGGATCTCCACATGCTACGGGTTAAAACTACATGCCATGGGCTCCAGGTAACAGAAAAATCTTACCGCCTTCCAGTTATAACAGGCAAAAAATCTTCTGATTTGGCTTCAGTGATTTTAAACATTACTTTCTGCAAATCTGAAATTCCCACAGCCATGTCTTCCAGCATACCTGCTTCTTCACCTATACAGAAAGATTACAGAAGTTATTAACAGAATGGACTGATCAGTCACCAAATAAGTTACAGTAAGACAAAACAGGGATTATATTTTCCAGTTTACACATCCAAAAAAATCACACCCCTAAATCCACATTGCAGGAGCCTACATGAAAGCAGACTGATTATCAGAACTGCTGACTATTCTTTGCGGCCCAAGTGATAACTATAAGCATTAAGCACTTCTGAAAAATCAGCTTTCTATATATGAGCACAGAATAGCCTCAGAAAAAAACATTTTTGTCCCTTCTGAAAGTGGTTTTAAAGACTGTCCTGCTGTTAGAGAACAAAGGTTTTGAGAACAACAACGAGTACCGTAGAAAAGGGAGTCTGACAGCTGCCTCAGAGTGAGGATCTGCAATTGCCTGGGAAAGGGAAAGTGCTGCACAAATGCTAAATCCCGCTACTTTGGTCAAATTCTCTATTTTGAGGAAGAATTTCAATACGTCTAGTTCAACGCATTTTGAAACGTATTGCAGTTTCTCTCTCCCTATGTCCTTTTTCATAGCTATCAAATGATGACATCTATAACAAGTTGGGAATTAAACAGTTTTCAAGCTGTCTTCACATCAGCAACGCTGACATGCAGTTTCCAGAAATGCTGACAGGGCCAAGGTTTACAGAGTCAGTAACTATTTAAACCTGCTATTTGTGTTAGCTTTATAAACCCGATATCTGTGTCAGGCTAAATGACTACACAGATATAGACTTTTTTATTATCGTTATTAATAACAGAAGTTCCCCCAGCTGTACTGAGGAAACTAGTCTCCTGTATTTAAGACAACGCAGTTCAGCACGCTCAGTGGAACAAATAGCAGCTAGCGTTCTCAAAGAAATTGAAAAATAAAATATATGACTGTAATTTTTGATGTGAATTGACATGCAGCACTATGCCAGTGGCTTCAACTGTGCTGCTATGTGGAAGCCTACTGTCTCCTAATGGCTAATATGTGTTGATTCAGATAAGCCAAATTCCTGGAACTGGAATAAAGGTTAAAACAAGAACCTACTGGATGAACTTCTCATCTGTATGCACGAGGAACTTTGTTCAAGAGCAATACTTACTATATGTACTAAGGAGTCCTTCATACTGTACAAGCAGTCCAACAGTATGCAGTTGTTGTAAAAAGCCCTGGTCATGTAAACCTGTGTGCAATTTCATTATAAACCCACAGACCAATCCAGCGAGCTTTAAAGACAACAAGAAGAAGTGTGAAATTAATAGATATGTTATAGTTAAAATAAGGATTGCTATGATTTTACACAATACAAGTAGCATTTAGATATTTGAGAAAACAAAAGAGCTATTTAGTGACTACGTCCATCGTCTCATATTAAAACATTACTAAGGCATTCTGCGGTATTAAAGGCAATAAAATATTTCCCTATTTTATACTAGAGAAGCTTCATTTGTTTCATAGGGTTATATGTGACTTACACTAGTGTAACTGAGATGAGAACCTCCCTTGGCAGGCTCTTAACTAATAAGGCTGCGACTGATGGATATAAAAGCAGTTAGGCACCTAATGCAACTGGGTCTCCTTGACAGTTCACTCTAACTCCTTAAGTTATGTTGGAAAACAAATACAGCTTAGGGGAGAAATTAGACCAACCATTTAGAAACTATCTATCTGGAAAACACAGTCTACAGAAAAAGATTGAAAGAACTTAAGTTATTTATCAAGTGAAAACAACTCTGAGATGAGACATGGTAACAGACTTCAAACACAAATACTGCTACACACTGAAAGGGAAGAATCTGTTCTTCATTTCCAAGGCGAACAGCAGAAAAACATGTCTGGCTTGAATGGCAGCAAGAAATACTCATGCTGGACTTCAGGAAAAAAAACATCCTAAGGATGAGGATAGTTCAACGTTGGAATGGAGGATCTGGGAAGACTGTAAAAATTACTATGTGTAACTATTCTTTATGCAGAGGGGAGGGATTAGGTAACCTCTTCTGGTCCATTCCAGACTATTTCTGTGACTCAGCTATTCAGTTACTATGGATTTTCATCTGCTATTCATTTCTCTTTCAGAGTATAAAATAGTTAAGTGGATGTAATGCAAAATACATGAAAAAGCTGTGTTAATTTGAACCCTCCCCCTCAGGCCCACAAATACCGGTGTAAACAGGATGCTCCATTATAGCAATGCTAGTAACCTAGAACAGCCACTCCAGCAGGAAAAAAAGTGACACGAGATAACCTACTGCTTGACTAAAGACGACATCTCTCCTTAGGGTCAGCATCAAACACTGCGGCAAACTGCACGCGAGTTCCTGGAGCAGAACAAACGTCATCGACTGCTTCGCCCTGGTCACCACCTCTCCCATGCAGTCCTTCAGCGTAATCACCAGGGGATAAAGCTGTTCATACCAGTCACCTGGAATGAGACAGATCATCAGCTGCAAAAAGTTGTGGTAGAAATCCTTCTCAGCTTGGCGAGGGGGCTGCAGGGGCTGTGTAGATCCTCCAATACTTCTCCCCAACACCGCAGCTCTCTCCTGACCACTGCAGCACAGCAACCACCACCAGAGGATTTGCTTAGAGGAAGGATGGATTACAGCTTACCACCAAGACTGGGGCTAAATCCTTGGCCTAAATCCACATATGTCCTGAAGCAATAACTTTCTAAGGCAGATTAACTACTCTGTGAAACTCGCGCTGAAGCGTTCTTCACAAAGCATAGAGGGAGATGTGTGAAAACCCATTTAGCGCAAGATGAATACGGTGGAGAGGAGGATCTTCTGTTCTTTCCAGCACTGACAACCTTGTTATCCAAGCAAATAAACTGCGGTCAGAAGAAGGGGAAGAGCGTATGTTTAAGAAGAATTTTGTGCTGGAAGGCAAAACAAAAGAACAAGCAGCCATCTGGGAAGGATATTATCTCTTTAATGTATAGGCTGGAAAAATACTAACCTTCAGGTCACATTGCTTTTTCTTTTTTTGCTTCTCTCTATATTCTTCTCTTTAAATATTTAGAGATATTGAACTCATTTTTTGAGTTATTCTGAGCAGAGAGACTTATAACTATTTGTAATGTGTTTTCCTCTGTTGTTAAACTATATCTTAAGGAAAAAAATGACTAGTGAAATACTTGAAACATGGGATTCCTTAAGACATTAAAAATGAAACAGAAAGAAAACTAGGACAGAGGAAAACTAGCATATAGCTGACCCAAACTTGTCTGATTATAAATCTATTCCTGAATTTTTTTAGAATTTAATAAAAACAGACCTCATTCAAGTTGCATGTGCTTTGTCTACCCCTCTAAGTAGAGCAAATAAAAAAAACCTCCCCCCTTCAGAATCTACATCTCAATTTTACTGTTATAGTTTAAAAAGAAAGATAAATCAACACCTCCAGAAGAATCTGAATTAAATATAGGGAGTGAAACCAACGTAATACTGTCCATCACTAACTCATATTTTCTGTAAATTATTCTAATTCAAAATCAATAATAATTAAAATCTGTTCTATTTAAATTGCAATTATGGGGGAGACAACAGCAAATTGTTTCAGGTAAGATTCTGAGTCAGACCTAGAAAAACTCACTAGCGCTGAAGAAGTTCTTTAGGCAGGAAGAAACAGTTGCCTGTTGGGAAGGTTTCTTTGGCTACACTATGGAAAAATGTATAAATGAATAACATTGCACCCAAGAGGACTAGAGAGACCTTTGAAAGTTAGGAGAAACTGTAATAAATGAGGTGTAGAATGGAGAAGGTAGGAATAAGGTCAGAGCAGTCAGAGCAATTTGGGCTGCTTTGCAAACAATTTGTGGTGAGACACAATGTGTTTTAACACAGTCGTACATATTTGGGGGAAGAAATACAGAGTGGAGAACTGTCCCTTGGAAAACTGGAGAAGAGCAAGTATGAAAAGGAAGTCAGGGCCATCATGCGCAAAACAGAACATAAGCTGCCCCCACTCTCACACTAAAGCAAAGAGAGGCGATTTTATATATGACACGTACTAAAAGACTACCGATAAGCTGCACGCCAAGGCCTGGTGTACACATTTCAAAAAGACTGCTGAAAAAAGGAGGGTGTGCAGAAAGGAGCTACCAAGATTTAGAGTCTGATCTCATTAAGCTTATCAATAAGACTGAGCAGCAACATGTTTTCTCTTCTTCACGAGGAGCAAATAACAAGTATTGAATGGATCTTTATTCTAGTGAGCAAAAGTAAAACAAGAATGAAAGGCTGGAAGCTGACACCAGATGTTCACATTTAGAAATAAGGTAGATACTTCTAGTAATGAGCATCTAGAGAAATAAAGTACCCAGGGAAGTGGCAGATCTCCCGTCTCTTAATATTTTTAAAAACAGAACACTTTTTTGGAAGACGCACTTGAGCAAAACAAAAACAGAACTTGGTAAGTCTCAGTTCAGCTGGAATTTAAGGATGTGTAACATACAGCAAGTCAGACTAGACACAATAGACAAAATAAACTATCCTTTCTGATCTTAAATTAAATTAAGTAGTCAATCAATAAGTAAATGCCAAGGAAAGCAACTACAGCAGAATGAGATTAAAAGATATCATTTATACTAAATCAGTGGAAGTGCGCTTATCTGACTGGAACAGAGTTTGTTGTCAATATTCTATTTTTGAGCTTGAGAAAGTAATGAAAAAGATCATAATTAGTCACTTCAAAGTAGACCTGAAAGTTCAGCCAACAGAGGCATCAGTTCAATTTCCATGGCAAATTAGATCTGGACACGGACACAATCGAGGATCTTGCAAGTAGACTGATGGCAACGAGGGCAAGAAAGAAAAAGATGGATTTCCATAACCAGCTGCACTTGTGACCCCGGTTTTACAACTTCAGGTTCCTTGGATAGGGCTAAAGAGTATTACAGACTACTGTTTTTCATGAAAGAGAAGGTCACAGACTGGTCACAAGTCACAAAACACTGAGATTTTTTTCTACTGAGTTGCTGCTTACCCAGTCACTCCTCATCTTGTATTGCTGCTCCTCTAAGAACCTAACTTTGCACTTGCCCTTACTGAGCTTGATCCTATTATTCCATTTCCTCAAGATCAGTTCCAATCCTGCTCCTGTGGTGCCTCAAGCCTCTCCCAGCTTTGTATTATCTGCAGATTTTTATAAGCATCATCTGTATCTTATCATCCAAGTCATTAAGGAAAATATTCAATAATACTGGACCCAGAACAAATACAAGTGGATTCTATTCTATACAGCCTTCCAGGTTGACAGTAAATCACTGATAACTACTTTCCATTACAATTTTTCCAATTATTTTGCACATACCTTGTGGTAGCTTCAAAATCATTTTCCTGTAAGAATTTTGTGTAAGACTGTATGTTTAGAATATCTTACTGTACAAAGGCAAAAAAAAATAGGACATATTTAATACTACTACTAACATTAGTATTTTTTGTCAGTGATAGTTGTATTAACAATGGATTCAAATTTTGGAATTCTCAAGGCTATTTTTCCCATTTTTAACAGACAGTCATGCTAAATGTATGAAAATGAACCCTACTGAATATTTAATGTTCCAAAGAATACAATGCCATGACTTTACTCTGTAGAAAGCTGTACTTATATAAATATTTTGCTTTGTAGAAAGCCTATCGTCATTATAAGTCTGTTTAGTTATGCTTAAAATAGCAGCTTTCCAAAAATAAAAATCAAACAAGAAGTTTGTAGCAAATCTCACCCCTAACAGCTAAAGAAATTATTTTATTATAGAATACATTGATTATAGAATGGAACTGTACTTACTAACAGAAAACAAGATAAAACCATACCCAAATGTAATTAAATTATCCATAACAACTGTCTGACTCCTTGCTTAAACCCAAAATTCTTGCTCACAATTTGTAAGGACGCCCAATTCCCAGACGGTGGAGCTAGTTAGCAAGCCTAAAAGACGGACTGCCTTGTTATTTACTACTCCCCATTATAAAATTAAAATAGGATATTCTGCTTTGAATGGAATAGTGTATTCTCATGTTTACTCTTTTATTTTAAAGCAAGTTCAGTATGTTATTAAGATCAAAACAAGAGGTGAAGCACAAACAAGAGCTTCTCCAGCAAGCCTCTGGAGGGACAACTAAGAGATCTTCATAGATGTTCACTCTTTGGGCTGTGTTAAAATCATCATATCTTGGATATCCTGTTTTAAATACTCTAGCAAGGATATAAATCACAGTCATTAGTTTACAGTGCATAAATCTCTGAATCGCTCCAAATATTGAAACAGAGATGCACATTTATGGAATAATGGAGACAAAGCATTAAATTTTAAAGTTTATGAATAACTTCAATAGGCTTCAGAAAATATAACTGCTTGGTATGCATGGATAAATTTGGAATATTAACAAAATTTATAAAGAGATAATATTTGTAAAGAGAGCTTTAAAAACCTGGTCTGAATTCAGGTTTAGATCATTCTGATTCATCTTGCCACAACATTGCTGACATGCGAGGATGCTGCTTGGATAGGAGCAATTGCTCGCAAGTGAAGTCCAAAAGATTTTGGGAGAAGTGCAGGATGTCCCACAATTCCTCCTTCACAAGAAAACCTGCAGTTGGCTCAGAATCAGTTGCTGCCATAAAGATGCAGTCAGGCATACAGAGACTCAGGACCTTGACTCCTACAGTCACTGATGACAGCTTGGTGGAGTCACTAAAGGAAGGGAACGGTACAAATTACCACTTTTGTTATCTCATGCACTCGAGAGCTTACACAAATGTTGACCCTTTAGATCTCAAATTTGTTCTGCTTTTCTTTAACTGCAAGATTTGCATTCTAAACAAAGTCAAAAATATATAGAAAAAGACTGAAGAACTAATTGAAAGAGTAACTATTTCAGAGAGAACATTAGGAGCAAGGAGATTATCAACCTGTAGACTCCTAGTAGCTTAAGTGACAAGGGCAGGTTGCCCTGTTTGGGACACTTGGCTTCCAAACAGGAGTCCTAAAACCTAGAGAGGAAGCAAGGAAATTCAAAAATCATGCTAGCCAGCCTTTGGAAAGGAAACTTAAACAAAGTATAAAAGCCAGCCACATTAAAATGGAAAATGGAGGGAAGAAATTAAAAGAAGAAATATTACCACTATGCAATTAGCGTGGGATTAAAAGGAAAGAACATGTGCAGCACGGGCGCTGAATAGATATTCTGCTTCCATTTTTAACAATGAGTTGTGGAAACTGAGCTTATGACAGAATTTGCTCTTTGGTTGCTAGAAAATGCTTTTCAGTCCTATATCCTCTTAATCAACATGCCTACACAGGCAAGTGATCTGCTTAGCATCCAGCTTGCAATATCTAGGTGATAATATCCAAGCTGCAGTATGTCAAACTGCAAGTTAAATTTGATAAAAAGTTTGGCACAAAAGCAAGCTCCTGTT